GTATGTAGCTTAAATTGGACAAGTAATTGATAGAATAATCAGATACGGTAAAAAATTATGTTTGTTATGAATGTAGGAGAATCTAGATTGTTAAAAGTTATATGAAGATTTATTATAATATTATTATATATTATTATATTATATCTATAATTTAGATCAATACAGGTCAACAAACAACTAAAACAAAAATAAACAAAATAACGTTATTTACATATAAAAATTTTTCTACTCTCTGACTATAAATGATATTCTACTTTGATGCAGTAAATGCATCATAACAGATACTGACACGTAATGACTAGCACGTAATAAAAAAAATTACGCTTCAGTTTTATAAAAATGTGTAATATCACATAAGCCTTGTAAGTCAGTTGGTCGAGTTACCATGGAAACGAATTAACAGACGTTATTTTGACAGATTAAAAATTATTAATCTGTCAGTGTAAATATAGTGGTAATTTAATTTTATTTTTATAAACGAAAATAATGGTAGAAAAAGTATAGTACACAACTTGAGTTGTAGGCTTATTACATGCTTGTAAAATTACTGCGCTCGCCGCTACGCGGCTCGCGCGCAACTTTTTTACTCGCATGTAATAAGCTTCTTACAACTCTCGTTATGTAATATACTATTAATATCTTATGCGGTTTTAACTGAACTAACAATTGAACGGGTAAGTGGATGAAGGGAGTAGGTACCAAAAGTAAGTTTTTGAGAAATTTAACTCCAAAGTTTTATTGCTGGAACTTTTTTATTAATCGATTTTTTAAACCGATTTTTTTTTATTCTCACAGGTAGGATATGTATAAATTTTATTGTAAAAACAAAAATCCTCCCGATTTTTAAAAACCTATTTGAAAAATATATATTTGTACTTACCTTTTTTATTCCAAAAACTTTTTTGTGTTAGAAATTATGTGTGTGTCAAAATAAAGGGGGTATGTGGACTTCCTTTATCTAGGATACATATTTGCATTTTCTTTTAAATAGGCTCTATAATCAGGAAAAAATAACATGGATGTCAAGTAAACACTTATATTTTTGGTTTTAAAAAGGAACGACAAACAAAGGTTTAATTTCAGCTGTTAAGAAAAACAAAATATTAGTACTTAATCTGGTCTGCTGATTTTAGTCCCTATTGACAGTCAATGATTAACAGAAAATAATTCATATTAAATAAGCTAACTACCACATTTGAAGGCAACAATCACGTGGGCCGGATAGTGTAATTGGTTAAGACACTCGCCCAGAGTGAGACATCCGGGTTCTAATACCACCTTACCATTTCAGTAGATTTTTTTACTAGCCCATTGTTCAAATAATATGTATCTCTAATGTACATACGTAGTTTTTAAATATATTTTTTTTTAATTTAAAGCAAAATACTTGAAACTACTAAAGAATAATATTTACCTTTTATCTTTGTTTCATTATCATCTACTTCTTCTGTAATAGTGGATTCCTATTGTAATTGCTGTAAAGCCAAGTCTGCCAAGAATTTTCCCCTAGAACTAGTCATAATAAATCACTTTATAACTAATTAAATAAACTAAAACAGCTAAGAACACTAACACAAGCAGTAGCGAGGGTTGCACTTGCACATAACCTAAAAATCTTTAATTTGTTGTCATCTGATGTCAGCTGACGAATACATGAAGAAGGTATGTCACAATTTTTATTCTCTATGGTATGGATAAAGGAAGTAAGTACTTTATATTGTTACTTACTCCTTCATTCACTAGCTATTTAAAGTAGTATGGTCAATTACCTCCTTCATACGCTAACTATCTCAGTTATTTTAAATCATAGAAGGCTGGGGATAAGAGGAAAATTTAATTTAGCACTTACCACCTTCATCCATGCGGATAACTCATTTTCTTAAAAATGTCACTTACTCCCTTCATCCTTCTTCACTCCGAGACTTCAATTATTTTTATTTTTTACGTTCTATGTAATTAAAAAACAAGTCTTTTGTGTAATTTTAAATCGCCACTCCCCTCTTCCCACTATCTAGCCTCAAAAATATATTTTTTTTTGTTTTTTTTTTCAGTAAGTTGAAATCAATTTAAAAATTTCAAAAAATTCACACGTATAGTTAAGGATTTCACAAAACTTATGCATTTTTTATGGATCCATAGGTTGAGTGTATGTGCATAACCTAAAAATGCATTTATTTTCAAAAAAAGCGTATAACTTTTTTTGAGATGGCTACACTGCCTTCCTAAGCCAAGATGACGTTACTCAAGGTTTGGTTTATCTGAGGTAATTAACATTTTTGTTAGTTGGTTTCAGTACAAGTTATTTTTTGTCATTTTTCTTAGTATCTTTGGATATAAACTTATTGAGAAGATGCAAAATTAGCACTAACATGCTTTTAAAAAAATGTATATATTTAACAGAAACAATATATATTTTGGTTTTTCTTTTTAGATCTTTCTTCCTTATATGATTTCTTAAGCTCTCATTAACCATGATTCTCTCAACATATCTTTATTCTATTGAGAAATTGTCATGATCTCTATTCCAGAAGTTCATAAATTATGATAGAAAGGATACATGTGTCAATAAACCTTTCGTTTTAAATTAATCGTTTATATTAAACCTCAGTTTACCTACTACTACTACTTTATGCCATTCTTATTCTTTTTGTAATTTCTGCAGTTTGATTTTGTTTTTCTTATTTTATTTTTGTCCTAAATACATATATTCTTCCACATTTTTAATCATTCTATCAAGAGGAAAATATCCACTTCTTCAGTTAACATTTCCTTAGTTTTCCCAATATTCATTTTCAGTCTTACTTTATTTAAAATTTGTTCTGTTAAAATTTTTTCCAACACTTCTACACAAATGCTAATTAGTACAATATCATCTGCAAATCGCAAGTGATTTATGTAGCGTTTATCTATGTTCATAATTGTTTGTTCCCGTTCTAGTTTATTTAAAATATCCTCTAAGGCAGATGTAAATATCTTAGGCGATATCGTGTCTCCTTGTCTGACTTTTTGTCAATCTTTAAGAAATATTGTTTGGAAAATGTTGCATCAAAAAATGAAAGTACGTACCTGTTTAAACAGGTACGAGTTTTTATGGCAGTGAAGCAATCAAATTTTTAAATGTATGTAAATTTTGGTATCATACCTAACTACCTTTTAGACAACATATAATACATAAGAAATATCTAATTCGTATGGTTTTAGAAGCGAATGCTGAAAAAGTTTACGCATATTCAGCCGGTTCCCGTTAAAGGTTCATGAATAATACAGAGGAATAATAAACAAATATAATAATAATGAATAAGAGGAAATGCTTCCTTGAGGGAAATGGATGACTTTTTACTTAAATAATACAATTGTATAATCAAAAAGTGTATCGTATAGAAATCTACTTTATTATCACTAAAAATTGTACAATGTTATCGATAAAGCTTACAAAAAGTCAGAAAATAAAACATAATAAAATAAACAATATATTGAAAACTTAAAATAAATTGTGAATTGCATAAAGATATTGTAATTTCTTAGGTATTCGTTAAGAAACTCTTCTACCCACTGAATAATATGATAGGTAAGCTCTTGTCATTTTACGGAACTTGAGGAAAGAAAAAGAAAAAATTTTCCATCGATTTTTAAATTAGTGATATTATTGATAAAGATAAGGAAAAGTAGAAGATAAAATACTGAACCTTGTGGTACTCGCCGTACAATGCTTTTGTGACTAGAGTTAGTATCATTAGCTGTGACCAGTTGTTTCCTATTTCTCCAGTAAGATTGAAACCAATTCAAAGAAATACCTCGAACTTAGTAGAAATTTAATTTTTTAATCAAAATTTCGTGATTTACAAGATCAAAAGATGATTTACAATTTCAAATTCAAAATTTCGTGATTTACAAAATATAGCCTAGTACATTTGTTAGATAAAAAGCCAAACTGATATTATGATTAAATGTTTTTTTAACATGAAAGGAAATAAGTCGAATTTTATAAGTCTTTTAATAATTTTAGATATAATAGATTATTTAGTATATAGGTCTATAGTTGCAGGCATTCGATTTTTTGCCGCCCTTATGAAGAGGAATAATAATAACTGTATGTAGGCGCTCTGGAAACTGTTATGTATGAATAATACTCAGACTGGTAACAACTTAACGTTTATTCCAATACAATAACAAAACATGGCTATTTCCTAAATACGACTAAACTAAGAACTACTGAATGACAACTGTCACAACTACTTGGCCCTGTCCCTAGTTCCGTTCACGGTTACTAGTGACAGGGTGCTTACACATATATAATATTTCTCCCTCTTTTAACTACAACTTACAATAGATTTACTTAGTCTAAAAACCTAGCCGGTTTTTTCTTTACTCGCTCTGATCTACGTACAATATTTAATTGCCGTGTTTCCGCAATGTTATCCTTATTCACGTCACTATAGTTTTTTTTACGTTAAGAATGAAAATGTGACAGTCTAGTAACTTTTGAATGTCCAACCATACAGCAAATTCCCCAAGCCCCTCTCCCTATAGATTCTAATAAATCTAGTGACTTTTAGTGAAATATCGGTTGGCAAAATATTGCAATATTGCCAGTTCATTTCTCACGGCTTTTTGTTATCGTATTTGTGAGCAGGAGGCACAGAACAGAAGTGGAGTGGAGGTTAGGTGACACCCAAAATAGAAAACAATATTCTGTGGTTAGGTGGTGTTGGCTATTTATTTTTTTCGTTTCAATTTTTGCTATAAATTAAACTAAAAAAGTTCTTTTCAGAACTAATATTTATAAATTTTCAAGTATGCCTAAAGCTTTAGGAAGTTGTGCCCAGAAAATGGTCATTTCTTTAATTTTCATACTTTGAGGCAGAACGTGATCATCAATCTATATTATTTCCGTTTGAAGCAGTTAGGGATGTAAGTAATTATTTGTTCTATTTCTTTTAAAATAGTGATATAAAATGTGAGCAATATTTAATTTTACATTTTTAAACAATCCTATTTCA